CTCGCGGGAATTTCTCCCCCCCCCGCCGTAACAAAATTTCTCCTTCGTACCGGCAAAAATTCTTTCTATATCCTTAGGAAAATTGCCTCTTCATTGTCACAAAATTCCCTCTTCATCCTCACAAAATTCCCTCCTCATCCTCACAAAAATCCTCTCTACATCATCCCAAAAATTCCCTCATCCTCTCACAAAAATCCCGTCTTCATCCTCACAAAATTCCCTTTCCATGCTCACAAAATTCCCTCTTCATCCTCACAAAATTCCCTCTTCATCCTCACAAAATTCCCTCTTCATCCTCACAAAATTGCCTCTTCATCCTCACAAAAATCCTCTCTACATCATCCCAAAAATTCCCTCATCCTCTCACAAAAATCCCGTCTTCATCCTCACAAAATTCTCTCTCCACCCTCACGAAAATTCCCTCTCCATTCTCCCAAAAATCCACTCTTCATCCTCACAATATTCCCTCTTCATCAACCCAAAAATTCCCTCTCCATCCTCCCATAAATCCGCTCAAAATTCCCTCCTCATCCTCACAGAAATTCTCTCTCCATCATCCCAAAAATTCCCTCTCCACCCTCACGAAAATTCCCTTTCCCTGCTCACAAAATTCCCTCTTCATCCTCACAAAATTCCTACTTCATCCTCACAGAAATTCCCTCCTCATCCTCACAAAAATCCTCTCTACATCATCCCAAAAATTCCCTCATCCTCTCACAAAATTCCCTCTCCACCCTCACGAAAATTCCCTTTCCATGCTCACAAAATTCCCTCTGCACCTCCCAAAAATCCGCTCTTCATCCTCCCAAAATTCTCTGTCCATCCTCAAAAATATTCCCTCTTCATCATCGTAAAATTCCCTCTTCATCCTCAAAGAAATTATGTCTACATCCTCACAAAAATTCCATCTCTAGCCCCCAAAAATCCCGTGTCCATCCTCACAAAATTCCCTCTGCATCCTCCCAAAAATCTGCTCTTCATCCTCACAGAAATTCCCTCTTCATCCTCACAGAAATTCTCTCTCCATCATCCCAAAAATTCCCTTTCCATGCTCACAAAATTCCCTTTCCACCCTCACAAAAATCCCTTATCCATCCTCACAAAATTCCTACTTCATCCTCAAAAGAATTCCCTCTTCATCCTCACAAAATTCCCTCTCCATCCTCATAAAAGTTTAGCCTCCATATTCCAAAAATCCTGTCTGCATCCTCACAAAATTCCCATCTCCATCGTCACAAAAATCCCGTCTGCCTCCTGACAAAATTCCCTCTCCATACTCCCAAAAATTCCCTCTTCATCCTCACAAAATTCCCTCTCCATATTCCCAAAAATCCCGTCTGCATCCTGATAAAATTCCTTCTCCATCCTGACAAAATTCCACCTTCATCGTCCTAAAAATCCCTTATCCATCCTCACAAAATTCCCTCTCCATCCTCACAAAAATTCCCTCTCCATCCTCACAAAATTCCCTCACCATCCTCCCAAAAATCCGCTCTTCATCCTCACAAAATTCCCTCCTCATCCTCACAGAAATTCTCTCTCCATCATCCCAAAAATTCCCTCATCCTCTCACAAAAATTCCCTTTCCATGCTCACAAAATTCCCATCAGCGTCCTCCCAAAATTCCCTCTTCATCCTCCCAAAATTCCCTCTCCATCCTCCCAAAATTCCCTCTCCATCCTCCCAAAATTCCCTCTTCATCCTCCCAAAAATCCCTCTTCATCCTCACAAAATTCTCTGTTCATCCTCACAAAAATTCCCTCCTCATCCTCCCAAAAATCCGCTCTTCATCCTCACAGAATTCCCTCTTCATCCTCACAAATATCTGCTCTTCATCCTTCCAAAATTCCTTCTCCATTGTCACAAAATTCCCTCTCCATATTCCCAAAAATCCGCTCTTCATCCTCACAAAAATTCCCTCTTTATCCTCCCAAAAATCCCATCTTCATCCTCACAAAAACTCCCTCATCATCCTCCCAAAATTCTCTCTTCATCCTCAAAGAAATTTTGTCTACATCCTCACAAAAATTCCATCTCTAGCCCCCAAAAATCCGGTGTCCATCCTCCCAAAATTCCCTCTTCATCATCACAAAAATCCCTCTCCATATTCCCAAAAATCCCATTTGCATCCTGACAAAATTCCTTCTTCATCCTCCCAAAAATCCGCTCTTCATCCTCACAAAATTCCCTCTTCATCCTCACAAAATTCCCTCTTCATCCTCACAAAATTCCCTCTTCATCCTCACAAAATTCCCTCTTCATCCTCACAAAATTCCCTCTTCATCCTCACAAAATTCCCTCTTCATCCTCACAAAATTCCCTCTTCATCCTCACAAAATTCCCTCTTCATCCTCACAAAATTCCCTCTTCATCCTCACAAAATTCCCTCTTCATCCTCACAAAATTCCCTCTTCATCCTCACAAAATTCCCTCTTCATCCTCACAAAATTCCCTCTTCATCCTCACAAAATTCCCTCTTCATCCTCACAAAATTCCCTCTTCATCCTCACAAAATTCCCTCTTCATCCTCACAAAATTCCCTCTTCATCCTCACAAAATTCCCTCTTCATCCTCACAAAATTCCCTCTTCATCCTCACAAAATTCCCTCTTCATCCTCACAAAATTCCCTCTTCATCCTCACAAAATTCCCTCTTCATCCTCACAAAATTCCCTCTTCATCCTCACAAAATTCCCTCTTCATCCTCACAAAATTCCCTCTTCATCCTCACAAAATTCCCTCTTCATCCTCACAAAATTCCCTCTTCATCCTCACAAAATTCCCTCTTCATCCTCACAAAATTCCCTCTTCATCCTCACAAAATTCCCTCTTCATCCTCACAAAATTCCCTCTTCATCCTCACAAAATTCCCTCTTCATCCTCACAAAATTCCCTCTTCATCCTCACAAAATTCCCTCTTCATCCTCACAAAATTCCCTCTTCATCCTCACAAAATTCCCTCTTCATCCTCACAAAATTCCCTCTTCATCCTCACAAAATTCCCTCTTCATCCTCACAAAATTCCCTCTTCATCCTCACAAAATTCCCTCTTCATCCTCACAAAATTCCCTCTTCATCCTCACAAAATTCCCTCTTCATCCTCACAAAATTCCCTCTTCATCCTCACAAAATTCCCTCTTCATCCTCACAAAATTCCCTCTTTCTCCATCCTCCCAAAATTCCTACTTCATCCTCCCAAAATTCCTTCTCCATCCTCCCAAAATTCCTACTTCATCCTCCCAAAATTCCCTCTCCATCCTCCCAAAATTCCCCTCCCGCTGCTTTCCCCGGATCTGCCTTTTTTAGGGACCGTTCCCACTTGGATTTGGGAGAATTTTTGGATTTGGCAATTTTTGGAAACTGTGGGATAACGGGAATGAGGAAGAGGCCACAGCTCCAGGGATTTCGGGAATATCTTGGAAAAAAAAAAAAAAAACCCACAATTTTCGGGAATATCCCCGAGAATTTCCCATGTTTAAGGTGGAAAACCTTTGGAAAAAAAAATCAACATTTCCCGAGCTTTAATAATAACCTAAAATTTAATCCCAAAATCCCCCTCCCCCCCCCAAAAAAAAAATCAGCATTTTGAGATTTCCCAGGAAAAGGAAACAAAAAAAAAATCCACGTACCCCACGGAGCTTTGGCTTCCTCATCCCGACTTTTTCCTCTGGAAAAAGCTACGGGAAAAGAAAAAAAAAACAAAAAAAAACAAAAAAAAACACCCCAAAATTACAGGAGAAGGGAAAGGGTGGGGGGAGGGGAGGGAAATTCCACGCTTGGGAGATAAAAATTGGGAAAAAAATTCCATCCCAAATTTTTTTTCCGGAGAATCTTCCCACTTGAGGAAGGAACGTTTCCAAATTTTTCGGGACGCGCACGCGGAGAGAGAGAGAGAGGAAAATTTGCTAAAAGCAAATCCCGAAATTTAAGGGCGAACCCCGGGATTGGAAGGGAAATTCCCTGGGGAAATTGGGATTATTTTTATTTTTTTTTTGAATTGAGCAGGCAGCAGGAAAGGGGAAGAAATTGGGAAGGATGGAGATTTTTCCCCAAGGAAAAGGGGTTGGGGTCGGAGCATTCCCGGATTCCCGGCTCGATTCCTCCGCCTCCTCAATCCTGGTTTTCCTTCACCTCAATCCCAATTTTCCTTCCCCTCAATCCCAGTTTTCCTTCACTTCCTCAATCCCAGTTTTCCTTCACCTCAATCCCAGTTTTCCTTCCCCTCAATCCCAGTTTTCCCTCCCCGCCTCAATCCTGGTTTTCCTTCCCCTCAATCCCAGTTTTCCCTCCCCTCCTCAATCCCAATTTTCCTTCACCTCCCCAATCCCAATTTTCCCTCCCTTCTTCAATCCAGGTTTTCCTTCCCTTCCTCAACCCCAATTTTTCTTCCCCTCCTCAATCCCAAATTTCCTTCCCCTCGATCCCAAATTTCCTTCCCTTCCCCAATCCCAATTTTCCTTCACCTGATCAATTCCTCCTCCTCAATCCCACTTTTCCTCCACCTCAATCCCAATTTTCCTTCCCCTCAATCCCAGTTTTCCCTCCCCGCCTCAATCCCAATTTTCCTTCCCCATCCTCAATCCTGGTTTTCCTTCACCTCAATCCCAATTTTCCTTCACCTCAATCCCAATTTCCCTTCCCTTCAATCCCAATTTTCCTTCACCTCAATCCCAATTTTCCTTCCCTTCAATCCCAATTTTCCTTCCCCTCCTCAATCCAAGTTTTCCTTCCCATCCTCAATCCCAGTTTTCCTTCACCTGATCAATTCCTTCACCTCAATCCCAATTTTCCTCCTCCTCAATCCCGGTTTTCCTTCCCCTCAATCCCAATTTTCCTTCCCCTCAATCCCAGTTCTCCTTCACTTCCTCAATCCCGGTTTTCCTCCACCTCAATCCCAATTTTCCTTCCCCATCACAATTCCTTCACCTCAATCCCACTTTTCCTCCACCTCAATCCCAATTTTCCTTCCCCTCAATCCCAGTTTTCCTTCCCTTCCCCAATCCCAATTTTCCTTCCCCATCACAATTCCTTCACCTCAATCCCACTTTTCCTCCACCTCAATCCCAGTTTTCCTCCAGTTCTCCTTCACTTCCTCAATCCCGGTTTTCCTCCACCTCAATCCCAATTTTCCTTCCCATCCTCAATCCTGGTTTCCCTTCCTCTCAATCCCAATTTTCCTTCCCTTCCTCAATCCCTATTTTCCTTCACCTGATCAATTCCTCCACCTCAATCCCAAATTTCCTTTCCCTCCTCAAGCCCAATTTTCCTTCCTCTCCTCAATCCCAGTTTTCCCTCCCCTCTTCAATCCCAATTTTCCTTCACCTCAATCCCAACTTTCCTTCACATCCTCAATTCCTTCCCCTCCTCAATCCCGGTTTTCCTCCGCCTCAATCCCAATTTTCCTTCCCCTCCTCAATCCCAATTTTTCTTCCCATCCTCAATCCCAATTTTCCTTCACCTCAATCCCAGTTTTCCTTCCCCTCAATTCCAATTTTCCTTCCCCATCTCAATTCCTTCACCTCAATCCCAATTTCCCTTCCCCTCAATCCCAGTTTTCCTTAATCTCAATCCCAATTCTCCTTCACGTCCCTAATTCCTTCACCTCAATCCCAATTTTCCTTCCCTTCCTCAATCCCACTTTTCCTCCTCCATCCCAATTTTCCTCCACCTCAATCCCAAATTCCCTTCCCCTCCCCAATCCCAATTTCCCACTTTTTTAGGGATTCCCCCAAACCAACCCATTCCCTTTAGGATGGCATTCCCAAGAATTCCCTTTAGGACGGCATTCCCAGGATTTTTTTAGGATGGCATTCCCATGGATTTTTTTTTTTAGGATGGCATTCCCCTGGATTTTTTTTTTTTTTTTTAGGATGGCATTCCCAGGATTTTTTTTCAGGATGGCATTCCCATGGATTTTTTTTGGGATGGAATTCCCACCTCTCTCCCCCCTCACCCTCTCTCCTCTCCCTCAATTAACATTCCTGCGGGATCAAAGCCCGGTATTATCCCGGGATTATTCCCGGTTTTTCCCGGCTTTGTGGAACCCTCGGGATGCCCCTGACCCGGCTGCTCCCGCTCTCCCTAATTGGAGCTTTTCCCAGGAAAACAAAAAAAAACAACAAAAACCAGGAAAAAAAAATTCCAAAACTCCCCTCCAGGTGCCCACCTGAATGGGGGGAGCGGCTCTGCTCCCGCTTTTCCTCAGCAAATTCCCAAAAAAAGAGCGGAATCTCAGCTAAAAAAAACCCTAATAATTTAATTTTTTTTTTCATTTTTAGGGATCAAATTTTAAGGAAAAATTCCCCCCAAAAAATCCCAGCCTGCTGTTTTCATGTATTTGAATTTTTAGGGATCATTTCCGCCTGGATTAGGGAGAATTTTAGGGTTGGGAATTCTTGGAGTGGGAATTTTTGGATTGGGAATTCTTGGAGTGGGAATTTTTGGATTGGGAATTTTTGGATACTGTGCGAAGGAAAGGAAAAGGAAAAGGAAAAGGAAAAGGAAAAGGAAAAGGAAAAGGAAAAGGAAAAGGAAAAGGAAAAGGAAAAGGAAAAGGAAAAGGAGAAGGAAAAGGAAGAGGAAAAGGAGAAGGAAACGGAAAAGGAAAAGAAAAAGAAAAAGGAAGGGGAAGGGGAAAAGGAAAAGGAAGAGGAAAAGGGAAATAAAGGAAAAGGAAAATGAAAAGGAAAAGGAGAAGGAAAAGGAAGAGGAAAAGGAGAAGGAAAAGGAAGAGGAAAAGGAAAAGGAAGAGGAAAAGGAAAATGAAAAGGAAGGAAAAGGAGAAGGAGAAGGAGAAGGAGATGGAAAAGGAAAAGGAAAAGGAAAAGGAAAAGGAAAAGGAAAAGAAAGGAAAAGGAAAACGGAAAGGGAAAAGGAAAAGGAAAAGGAAAAGGAAGAGGAAAAGGAAGAGGAAGGGGAAAAGGAAAAAGAAAAGGGAAATAAAGGAAAAGGAAAAGGGATTCAGAACCCTCTGCAGCTGACCCCAAGGACACGGACGGATTCCCTTGCGTTGGGATAGCGGCAGGAGATCCTTTCCTTTTCCACGACTCTCCCAGAATTCCAGAGGCGGGAAGCAGCCGGCTCACAAACGGCCTCCTCTTCCTCAGGAGCGCCTTTCCCGCAGGGAACGCCGGGTGGCGCAACCACGGAATTCCCAACGCGGTTCCCAAAATCCGACCTTTCCCTTTTTCCCCCCCAGGGGGTGGAAATCATTCTTCATTCCCCTCGGGAAGGTTTCCCCGGCCTTGACTTCCATCCAAAAGCAATTCCCAAATTAAAAAAAAGAGGGATAACGAATCGCGTTTCCTCAGCCCTCGACGCCAGCTTGCCTTTCCGCGGGATTTAGGGCGGGAAATTCCCGGGTTTTTTCCACTCACCTGGTGGCAGCCCTGGAGGTTGGAATCTCGGCCATACGACGAGTACGAGCCTCGTTCTGTTTTACCTGGAGGGAGAGGGAAAAACAAAAAAAAATAAATCCCGGTGAATCCGAGGGGAACGGGAGTTAAGCCGAGCCTAACGCGGCCGGCGGCGATTCCCGGAATTGTCCACGTCCCACCTTCACCCTCAGCTGGGAGCTCAGGGCCACATTCCAGCCCTGCTTTCCCTTCTCCCCTTTCCCACGCCGGTGATTTTTGGGATGGAAGCGGCCGAGCAGCACCGCCCCACGGCGAGACAAAGAGCGCCGGAGAGGGGCTGATCCCAAAGCTGTCCCAAGCCACCCTTGGGACATGGGACAACCATCAGGTGCCACCTCCTCGGAGCCGGGTTATTCCCAGCGTTTTGGAATTGAAAATTCCTCCTCCTCCTCCTCTTCCTCCCTGAGCTTTGGCCGCTACGACCGCATTGGATCCCGTTGAACCGGGAACGGACGGCTCCGAGCCCGCCCGCCGCTCCGGCCACCCCGGGAGGGTTGGAAACGGGGGACACGGGGGGCAACAAACCCCCCCGGGGAGTCAACGGGACGAGTACGGCGTTCCCGACCCTTCCGCGTTCCGGAAGCTCCTTCGCCATCGGCTCAGGCACGGCTTAATTTCAGTTGTGAAAAAATATTTATCCCGATACAAAAATAAACCCCCTGCAAATTACAAGTTGTCAGGGATGGGATCCGCTCCTGTTTGTGTGGGGGAGGAATGGGGAACGGCGGAGACATGAATCATTCCCGGTAATTTGAGTGTTTCCATGACATCAATGGGCACTCGGCCAGCGCTCTGTCGAAGTCTGCGAGGTACCAAAGCGGCTCCGCAGCCAGCGGGAGATTGACTTTTTTTTTTTTCTTTTTTTTTAGGATTACGCTCCTTGGAAAAGATTGCACCTCCAACATCCACTTTTCCCACCGAGCCCGCGGCCTCCCGAGCGAGTCCCGCCTCGGCTCCGCGCTCCCTTCGGGGACGAAGCGCCCCGGATTTGGGGACAACTCAAGGAACCCATCCGGGGGGAAGGTTGTCGAGATTGTCACCCAGATTGATCAAATCACAACCCCCTTCTCCCCAAATCACCGTTCCCCGGCTTCTCCCTGCCCGTGCCTGGCGTTTTCCGGGGCCGGGGAAAGCTCCACGTTGAGGTTTTCCATTCGGAAGGGTTGAAAACCGACAAAATAAAAAATAAATTTTTTTTTAATTCGCTCTCTCGAGGAGAGAGAGAGAGAGCGAGCGCGGCTCCGTGGCTCGCCGCCGCATCCACTGCGGAATTTTCGAGCCAAGCCTCCGGTCGGAGAATGCGGCAGCCGCTGCGGATATTTTTTGGCACGAAGACAACGGCGCCGGTGCCAAAGCCCCATGGCTACGACTCCTCAAAAAGAGGCGACTCCTCTTCCCCGCGCGCGGCCGAGCCTTCCGGGGGGAAACGTGATGAAGGACGGGAGGATGAGGAGCAGGCTCGGGGGGGGGGAAAAGGTTCTGGCAGCGCCGAGGCTCGGAAATTTTTGGGGACAAAGGCGGAGGTGCCGGGGTAGAGATGGGGACGATCCGGGGAGCGGCGCCGGCACGGCGCAGACAAAGGAACTCTTGTTTTGCCGGCCAACGCGGGATTCCGGCTGCGCTCCGGGGGGAAAAAAAAATAAAAAATAAAAAATAAAAAATAAATCTGTTCTCTCCCGAAATTTTTGTGCTTTGTGGTGCTTCGGCAAAGAAATTAAGGGTGAACGCCGCTCGTGCCGTCCTTGGTGGGAAGGGAGTTTTTGGGATTTGTGGGAATTCTGGAATTTCCCGTTTAGTTCGAAGGGATTCGTCCCAGTCGGGATATCCGAATTCCTGATATTTGGGTTTGCTTAGACTTGGCCCCCCGGGGAGAGCAGAAATTCTTGGGAATTGGAATTTGAACAGCTCCACGTATCCAGCTGTGATTTTGATCCGTCTGTTATTTTATTCCTGGATTTTTTTAATATTTTTTTTTAAGGAATTAAGGATCGTCCGACGGGGAAGGAGCACGAGGCGCTCCCCTTTAAGGACAAATTAAATGACAAATAAATGGCAAAATAAAAGATTAATTTAATACCAAATTAAAGGAGAATTCCCAAACCCAGCCGGGAACCGGGAGCATATTTGGGATCAACTTCTGAGCGACGGAACGGGCTGAAATTCCCAAATCCCAATGAATGGGAATTTCTGCTGCTGGGGGATGCTCCAGGCGCCTGAAGCGGCCCCAGATCCTGAATTTTGGCATCCCAAATTCTCTCCCACTCGGGTTGTAGGAGCAAAGGGAGGACGGAAGGGCTGAGGGGAGCGAACGGCTCCGAGCGCCGATGGATTATCCTTGAAAAAATGGTTTTGTTTTTTTTTCCCCTCAGAGATCCCAAATTGCCTCGTTTCGGCCGACAAATCCGGCTCCAATTTCGTGAGGAATTCTCAATTACCCGAGGAAAACCTCGTGGAAATAAACGAGGATTATTTATTTTTTTTTCCTCCTGTCTATCCTGCCGGCACCTCACCGGTGGAAAAAGAAATCTATAAAAAAAAAAAAAACCAGAAAAAGATTCCTTGACGTTTTCTCCGTGGAAAACCTCCAAGGAAAAACGGGATTCAACATCTCCCGCCCGGGGCGGATTATTAACCAAATTTTTTACAGAACTTTGGAAAATTTGATTCTTTAGCAGAGAGAAAGGGAATTTAAAAGAAACAGAGGAGGGGAATTTTCCCGCTTGAAGGAGCAGATCCCTGGCACCGGGAACAGCTGGCGGGAGCTCATCCCTTTGTGCGGCTCCGGCTGCTCCCGCGGGCACCGAGCTGGCACGGGCACGACGTCCCCACGGAGCCCAGGTGTGGCCGGGCAACAAAAGCGAGCGGGAAATCCAGGATTTGAGGTCGGGGGAAAAAAAAAAAAAAATATCAAGGCCGAGAATTGGAAGGGAAATCGAGGCCGGTGAGAAGGGAGGCTGCCGTCCGTAGGTCCCTTAACGTCGCGGGGATTAATAAGCTGGATATGGAATCCACGCGCTAATTGCGAGCGGAATAATAAACTTCCCTAATTGAATTAGGGATTTATTGAAACAAAACGCCCGTTTCTTCCCGGGCCGGCGGGAGGATATGGATATTTAACGAGGAGAGGAAGCTGGGAAATTCCTGAGGCAATCCACGGTTTGGGGGGTTTTTAATTCTCCTCGGGGATGAGGAATCCGGGGAAAATCCGAGGAGAGGATTCCCAGAAAAATCTGAGATATGGGGGTTTTTTCTTCTCCTCGGGGATGGAGTGGAATTTCAGGTTGAACACCTGGAAATATCGCCGGGAGAGAAGGAAAAACTCCCATCAGATCGTGGCTCGCCCTTCCCGTCCTTGGAAGGTAACGGGGATAAACGGCACCGGGAAGAGGAATCCGGGGAAAATCCGAGGAGAGGATTCCCAGAAAAATCCGAGATAAGGAAGGGGCAGGGAGACCAGGGAGAATGGGAACGGGAATGATGGATCGGTCGCCGGGAATTCGCCGGGAGCGCTCCGAAGCTCCGGACGGCGCCCAAACGCACGGATAAAGAGAGATTTGGGATCAAGGGACGCCCTGGATGCAACAGCCAGGAATGTTCTTTCCTAAAGGGACCCACACGCGGCATTCCGAGGAATTTGGGAAAAAAAAAGGAGCGCAGAGCGCGGGGATTCTTCGTCACGGGACGTTCCGAGGGTGGAATGAGGGGTCCTCAGGGCCCTTTCCCACCCAAGCATTCCCAGATTCCAGGATTCTGCAATGCACAGCATGGTCCGCGTTATGTTCCTAAATATATCTGTTACATCCACATCATCAATTAATGGCCGTAAGATATTAATTAACCCACGAGATATCCCTAACCCCGCAGGCAAATCCTTCCGTGGAGATTCAGGGCTCCGTTCCTAATTCCTCCCCGAGTTCTGTTTCTCCCACCCTATAAAATTCCCATTTCTCCACACTGCCGGCGCTTCTCACGTTGTTAAAAACCCAGCCGGGATTTCGGGAATCAGGAATTCCCAGGGACGACTGGAGGTGTCCCTGCCATGGCGTGGTGACCCTTCCAACCCCAAACCATTTCTCCACACTGCCGGCGCTTCTCACGTTGTTAAAAACCCAGCCGGGATTTCGGGAATCAGGAATTCCCAAGGAAGCTGATTCCCAGGCTGGAATCAGCTGGGACGACTGGAGGTGTCCCTGCCGTGGCGTGGTGACCCCTTCCAGCCCCAAGGAATTCCACGATTCCCTCAAGGGGAGACGCATCCAGAGCTTCTCCCAAAAACCCCACAGCGATGGGAGGTCCTCACGCTGCCCCAGCCGCGGAAACTTCTCCACAGAAGCATCTCCAGAACGTCCCGAATTTGGAAGTTCTGCTATCCCGGAGTTCCCAAAATGCGGAGTGCCCAAACGTCTCGATTCTGAAGCTCTGGATCCCTAATGCTGAATTCCCAAATCTCCCCATTTTCAAGCTCTGTATCCCTAATTCCACATTCCCAACCATCCCAATTTTCCAGCTCTGTATCCCTAATTCCACATTCCCAACCATCCCAATTTTCCAGCTCTGTATCCCTAATTCCACATTCCCAACCATCCCAATTTTCCAGCTCTGTATCCCTAATTCCACATTCCCAACCATCCCAATTTTCCAGCTCTGTATCCCTAATTCCACATTCCCAACCATCCCAATTTTCCAGCTCTGTATCCCTAATTCCACATTCCCAACCATCCCAATTTTCCAGCTCTGTATCCCTAATTCCACATTCCCAACCATCCCAATTTTCCAGCTCTGTATCCCTAATTCCACATTCCCAACCATCCCAATTTTCCAGCTCTGTATCCCTAATTCCACATTCCCAACCATCCCAATTTTCCAGCTCTGTATCCCTAATTCCACATTCCCAACCATCCCAGTTTTGAATCTCTGTATCCCTAATTCCACATTCCCAACCATCCCAATTTTCCAGCTCTGTATCCCTAATTCCACATTCCCAGCCATCCCAGTTTTTAAGCTCTGTATCCCTAATGTTGAACAC